AAGGACTTTTTTGGAAGGAGGATCAGATTGTGGTCCCTGAGGAGGCCCGTACATTGGTATTAGGATACTGCCACGATCACCCGCTGGCCGGGCACTTCGGGGTACGTAAGACCTTGGAGCTGCTGCAGCGTACTTTCTGGTGGCCTAATATGGCCAGGGAGTGCGAAACCTACATTAAGACCTGTCCCGTGTGTCAGAGAAACAAACCCACTAGGAATAAAGCTTGGGGTCTCTTGCGCCCATTACCCATTCCCGACAGGCCATGGACCATGATTTCCATTGACTTTATCGTGGAACTTCCACCTTCTCAGGACCACACAGCAATCTTCGTGATTGTGGACCGCCTGTCCAAGATGGCCCATTTTGTACCTTTAAAGGACACACCTACGGCCCTTGAAACAGCACGTGTGTTTATTAAGGAAGTAGTAAGACTCCACGGAATTCCCAGGGACATTGTATCTGACAGAGGGGTTCAGTTTACGTCCAGGTTCTGGAAAGCTCTATGTGAAACCCTGGGGATTAAGTTATCGTTCTCTTCTGCTTATCACCCACAGACCAATGGCCAGACGGAGCGTACAAACCAGACCCTAGAGCAGTACCTCAGGTGCTATACCACCTTCCTCCAAGATGACTGGGTTACTCTCCTGCCGCTTGCGGAATTCGCATATAATAATGCAAGTCACTCTGCTACTAGACAGTCCCCGTTTTTCGCAAACTATGGGTTCCACCCTGTATTCCTGCCAGATCTAATCCCAGAGGTCGCAGTCCCAGCCACGCAGGATATGTTGACCTTTCTGTCAACCAATAGCAAGGTATTGCAGGAAGCAATGGCAAAGGCCCAGGATGACAACAAGAGGGCGTTTGATAGGAAGAGAAGAGGGGAATTGAGTTTGCGGCCAGAGGACCAGGTTTGGTTGTCCACCGCAAATTTAAAAATGTCCTGCCCTTCAAAGAAATTGGCTCCCAAGTTCTTGGGGCCTTTCCGGGTCAAACGTAAGGTCAACGAGGTGGCATACGAGCTGGCACTGCCCGAATCTATGAAGGTTCATCCGGTCTTCCATGTGTCCCTGTTGAAACCGGCAACTCCAGACCCCTTCCCGGATCGAAGGTCTAAGCCACCGGAGGCAGTAGACGTGGATGGGGAGGAGGAATTTGAAGTTGAAGCTATCTTAGATTGCAGGAAGAGGGGAGGCCAAACTCAGTTTCTGGTTAAATGGAAAGGATATGGGGCGGAGGAAAATTCATGGGAGCCGGCCCAAAATGTGCACGCCCCAAGGCTTGTGCGGGAATTTTTTCGGAACCAGCCGTTGAGTAGGGGTCGGTTGGGCATCCGGAGGTTGCCCGTAGGGGGGGGGGGGGGGGGGGGGGCAATGTCAGGGATCCCGGGTCCTCGGCGGCGCGCGCATGCGCAGACCGCCGATCCGTCCCAGCCGGCGAGCGCAGAATCCTCGGCGATCGCGGCGGCCGCGCATGCGCAGTAGCGATCGCGGCCGCACCAATGGGAGAGCAGGGCGCTCTATTTAAAGCTGCCTGTGCATCTCCAAGTTGCCGCAAGGTCTCGTTCCTGTTCCTGTAAGTACGCTCCTTGTTGCCAAACTCTGCCTGTCCTGTTTATGCTGACCTTCTCCTGCTCTGACCCCGGCTCGTCCCTGACCATCCTTCTGCCTGACCTCCTGCACCGCGCTGCCCGCTACCTGCTGAACCTGGCTTGTGACCCCGACCATTCTCCGCTTACTCCCCCCGTACCACGCTGCCCGCACAATACCGACCCGGCTAGTCTGACCTCGCCTACTCCTGATAGCTGCCCATCCATCCCGCTCGGATCAGGATCTGTCATCCCATCCATCCCGCTCGGATCGGGATCTGTCATCCCCTTCACAGCAGGCTCTACCCGGGCACATACCCTCAGCGGGACCCCTCTGCCACCGCCGGGGGTGCCCAGGGACGCGACCTGGTTTCAGTCTTGCACCAAGTCCATCCCCACAATCAGGGGCCCTGGTGAAAAGGCAGACTGGGACTTAGACTCCGCGTCCTGGGAAACCCCGTGCCGTGGACCACTAGAGATCCCGTTGGGCGGAGCCTGACACAAAGATTGGTCATTGTGTGCATGTGATAACAGTATCACAAATTCTACACAAATTCGGCTTGTATGGGAAGGTTGCAACATAAAATACGCTCCTCACAAAAGATCACATGCAGTCACAACTGAGCATTGCCAAAACCCACCTTAAAGATTCTGAGGCTGCATGGAAAAAGGTGTTCTGGTCAGATGAGACTAAAACTCTATGATTTGGCCTGAACACTAAACCATATCTCTGGCAATCCAATCCAATACAGCTCACCATCCAAACAACACCATACCTAGGAAAAGTGGATGGAACAAAAAAAACTTCAAATTCTTAAGGAAAATCTGATGCTAGAAAATTGGCAATGGGAAGGAGGTTTATCTTCCAACATGACAATGACCCAAAGCACACAGCAAAAATGAGCGAGAAAAGGGTGTATGTCCTTGCATGACCTAGTCAGAGCCCAGACTTAAACCCCATTGAAATCTGTGGAATGACTGGAAGACTGCAGTCCACCAACCGTCACCATCAAGTTTAACTGAACCTGAGCAGTTCTGCAAAGAAGAGCGGGCAAATATTGTAAAGTCTAGATGTTCAAAGTTAGTAGAGACATATCCCAACAGACTAAAGGCTGGAATTAAAGCAAGACAAAAAACTGACAAGAGGGGGTGATCCTTTTTCCGACTCAGTGATTCTGCTTTTGACATGTCGGTGTTTTATCTTCCACTTAGAAGTTTTAAATTGCACTAAATACAGCTGGATAAAAACACAAACTGTGTCTGTCCTCATCTCACACTGCAAAGCGTAATATTATATATATATATATATATATATATATATATATATATATATATATATATATATATATATATATATATATATATATATGTACACACATACATACACACAAACACACACACAGTGCATCCAGAAAATATTCACAGCAGTTAACTTATGCCACATTTTATTATGTTACAGTCTTATTCCAAAATGGATTCAATTCATTGTTTTTCCTCGACATTCCACAAACAATACCCCATAATGACAACGTGAAAGAAGTTCGTTTTGAAATCTTTGTAATTTCTTAGAAATAAAAAATGAAAAAAAAAACATAATCGACATAAGTATTCACAGCCTTTGCTTTGTTGAAGCCCCTTTAGCACCAATTAGAGCCTGAAGTCATTTTGAGTATGATGCTATAAGCTTGGCACACCTATTTTTGGGCAATTTCTCCCATTGTTGTTTGCAGTACCTCTCAAGCTCCATTAGGTTGGATGGGGAGTGTCGGTGCACAACCATTTTCAGATCTCTCCAGAGATGTTCAATCGGGTTCAAGTCTGGGCTCTGGCTGGACCACTCCAGAACATTCACAGAATTAGCCGTAGCCACTCCTTTGTTATGTGAGCTGTGGGCTTAAGGTCGTTGTCCTGATGAAAGATGAAATGTCACCCCAGTCTAAGGTCCAGAACGCTCTGGAACAGGTTTTCATCAAGGATGTCTCTGTACATTGCTGCATTCATCATTCCTTAAATCCTGACTAGTCCCCCCGTTCCTGCCACTGAAAAACATCTCTACAGCATGATGCTCCCACCACCATGCGTCACTGTAGGGAAGGTATTGGCCAGGTGGAGAGCAGTGCCTGGTTTCCTCCAGACAAGACGCTTGGCATTCAGGCCATAGAGTTCAATCTTTGTTTCATCAGACCAGAGAGTTTTGTTTCTCATGGTCTGACAGTCCCTCAGTAAAAGGCAAATAGCAGCCTGCCTGGAGTTTGCCAAAATGCACCTGAGGAGTGGCTTCCGTCTGGCCACTCTACCATACAGGCCTGATTGGTGGAGTGCTGCAGAGATGGTTATTCTTCTGGAAGGTTCTCCTCTCTCCACAGAGAAACACTGGAGCTCTTTCAGAGTGACCATCGGGTGCTTGGTTACCTCCCTGGCTAAGGCCCTTCTCCCTCGATCGCTCATTTTGGCCAAGCGGCCTGCTCCAGGAAGAATTCCTGGTGGTTCCAAACTTCTTTCATTTATGGATGATGAAGGCCACTGTACTCATTGTCCCCTTCAATGCTGCAGAAATTTTTCTGTACACTTCCCCAGATCTGTGCCTTGATACAATCCTGTCTCGGAGGTCTATGGACAATTCCTTGGACTTCATGGCTTGGTGTATATACACACACACACACACACACACACACACACACACACACACACACACACACACACAAATGAGTACACCCCTTTTGTAAAGTATTTTAGTATTTAAAAGATTTTAATCAATGTCTCAATGAACATGAGAACAAATTCCAAAATATTGTCAAAACTGACTTTTATAGAACACTTGTTTGGCTCATTAAGTAAGGTTAAAAATAAAAATTGAAAAAAATATATAAAAATCGTAGATTACAAAATCTTCAGTTTTAAATTCCTTTCAGAACAAAAATTTTCTATGGGACACTATACTACAAAATACTCCCACAAATGCGGCCAATTGATTTCAAACAAGATTTGTTAACCACTTGCTCTCCAGAGGATTTACCCCCCCCCCCCCCCCCCTCCTGACCAAGCAATTTTTAGAAGTTACGGCGCCAAGTTACTTTAACTGTCAATTGCGCAGTCATGCAACGCTGCACCCAAATTCAATTTATATCCTTTTTCCCCCACAAATAGAGCTTTCTTTCTGTGGTATTTGATTGCCTGTGCGTTTTTTTTTTATTTTTTGCGCTATAAAAAAAAAAAAAAAAGGCTGACAATTTTGAGGAAAAAAAAGTACATATTTTTTACTTTTCCCTATTAAACACGTCTAGTAAAAAAAAAAAATAATCACATTTCCTTGTGTAAATTAATTGGTTTACATGTGAAAGTTATAGTGTTTACAAATAGCGGTGAATATATACTGGGATTTTTTTTTTTAATTTTCACTAGTAATAGCGGCAATCAGCGACTTATTGCAGGACTGTGGTGGGCATTCTGACACTGGAGGGAACTGACTTGGTGTAACTGACATCCCCAGTGACACCAATACAGTGATCAGTGCTAAGAAAAAGCACTGACACTGTACTAATGACACTGGGCAAGAAGAGGTTAACATGTGGTGAGATCAAAGGGTTAACTGTGTGCTGTTTTACACCAAGTTCTGTGTCTGTGCTTCACTGTAAGTACACTGTGCACAGCCATGCAAAGCAGTGTGCAGGAGCTAAAAAAAAACCATAAAATGCAGTGCTGTACAATATTACTGAATAAAGTGACAATGATGATATATTCAAAGTGAACGCACTAAAATAGCGCTAAAGTGAATAACATTGCATGGGTGTCCTACAGAATATCAGCAAGTAAATATTAATTGCAGATAAATATAAAGTGACAATGGTGAACAATCCAATATAAATTAAATGGATGAGATCATTCAGATGAAAAAACATCCCAGAAATTTCCGTGATAAGCGGGTGAAAAGTGATTCCATGGTAGATAATGCTATATGAATGCACTCATCAGAAGCGCATATTAAATGCGCATAGAAATATATCCGGCTCCTCCACAGTAGGGAAACCTTCCTTCAGGAAAATCATGGTATGGAGACGGGGAAACACCACTGGCTTCTGACAGCTATGACAGGGATGACTCCGGCACCACCACTGGCCACTTACTGTATTACAGGGATGGCTCAGGACACCTCTCCACCATGGATAGAGCCAGCAGGAATATTACAATCCACCTCCTTGCTGCAGTGCTGTTTCTGATTCCTTTCACATGTGTTTGTCTGTGCTCACCTAGTGTGCAGGAGCTGACAGGGAGGAGAACTGCTTTGTTTACTAACACTTCTCCTCCCCATCGGAGATCCTCGGCAATCACCGAGCGCCGGCGAGTAATCACGGCCATGAATGGAGGCTTGGGTAGGATGTGCGGGACCCCTACCTGTAAATGCAAAAAATCACGTATATATACGTAGCAGTGTTTCTGCTATGGGGTGGAGCTGAAGCAGTTCATTTGCACATCCCAAAAAATATTTTTCCTTACAAATTCATTCAAGACCATGTTGCAAAAATGAATACACCCGAATGAAAGTCTTAGAAGCAAAGCTAAATTTTAGACAGCTAAATCCTAATTAACAAGAATTCAACTCCAGGTGAGTCTAACTATTCATTAAACAGGTGTCCAGCAAACAATTGATTATAAAAGGGTGTTACTTAAAGAAAACCCCTTCCCATTTCATGCTGTCAGCAATGACACTGCATGGAAGAGAAATGTCACCAGGCTTGAGAAAGAAAATAATTTCTTTACATAACGTGAAGGCTGCAAGGAGATCAGCAAAGCTTTACTTATCGGTCAGAATACTGAAGCAAAAGTGGTACAAAAATCTAACAAAGATGGAACTGCAACCATCTCACAGAGATTTCCAGAAAGCCCACGGAAGTCAACACCCTTGACAGGAGCATCTTCTGATGAGAAGGGTTGAAGAAAATCACCATGCAAGTTCACTGCAGTTAGCTAAAGAATTAGAAAGCCAAACTGCTTTAGAAAAATAAAAGAACATCCCCTGAAGTAGGTCCAACATCAATGGCTAATGACTCATAGGTTGCGAAGGACTCCGCGGCCACCCATTCCTTAACCTCCTTGGCGGTGTTCCCGAGTGTAGCTCGGGGTAGAATTTCTATACCAAGAACGGTAACCCCGAGCTACACTCGGGCTTACTATGCAGCGTTCTCTGGGGGTCCCTGCAGCACTTACCTTGTCCTTCGCTCCCACGATGTGTCCCCTGCAGCGTCCCCGTCCATCTCCTCCGGCGGATGCCGGCATCTGACTTCCGTGTTCCGGTCCCCGTGACGTTGGAACGTTCGGGCGGCGGAAACCGGCGGGAAATTTGAAATTTTTAAAAAATGACATTTTTGCTGTCATTGCTTTTTCACTGCATTTCACATACATTGTGTCCCCACTGCTTTGTCCAGCGCCCTGCCTGCATTTTGACTGTTCTTTCTGCCTGGAAACTTAGAAAAGTCCATGGCGGCCAAAAAGCGTCCCTTTACATCAAAAGCGGTTTTAGAACAGCGATAGTAAATCAGAACCACTTGCAGAATTGAGTGATAATGATTTGTGGGGAAATTCGTCATCAGACACTGAAAACGATTTTGCGACTTTGCTCAGCGATGTGCGAATTTGCCTCTGTATTTCAAATTTCAGTGTTTTTGGTTTGATTATATTATTGAATTAAATTTATTATTATATTATTTTTTATGATTATTTATTAAATTATAATTTATGATTTCGTGTTTCAAGTTTTATCATATGCGGAATGTTTAACAGACTCTTTTTCGGATAGATTTCAGTGAGTTATTCCTAAAAATTACAGCCTACAATTAAAAACTACATATTTCCATGCAAAAAAAATGGTACCGCTTTCAGCACAAAATTCCTGACATGATCATACCGCCAGGGAGGTTAAGAACCCAGTACAGTACTGACAGATACCAGTACATACCGCATGCCTGGACCACTACTTAACCACTTCCCGCCCGCCAATAGGAAAATGACGGCCGGGCTGGACTCTCGTTGATCCAGGTGGGTATCATGAATTATATGTATGTATGTATTATACATGGAGATCATATCCCTCCTTATGTATTATACATAGTAATCATATCCCCCCCTTATGTATTATACATGGTGATACATATCCCCCTTATGTATATACATGGTGATCATATCCCCCCTTATGTATTATACATGGAGATCATTTCCCCCTTATGTATTATACATGGTGATCATATCCCCCTTATGTATTATACATGGTGATCATTATCCCCCCTTTTATGTATTATTACATGGAGATCATAAGCCCCCCCCCTTATGTATATTATACATGGAGATCATATCCCCCCTTATGTATTATACATGGTGATCATATCCCCCTTATGTATTATACATGGTGATCCTATCCCCCCCCCTTATGTATTATACATGGAGATCATATCCCCCCTTATGTATTATACATGGAGATCATATCCCCCCCCTTATGTATTATACATGGAGATCATATCCCCCTTTTGTATTATACATGGTGATCATTCATCCCCCCCCTTATGTATTATACATGGAGATCATAACCCCCTTATGTATTATACATGGTGATCATATCCCCCCTTATGTATTATACATGGTGATCATATCCCCCTTATGTATTATACATGGTGATCATTTCCCCTTTTTGTTATTATTTACATGGTGATCATATCCCCCTTTGTATTATACATGGAGATCATATCCCCCCCCCCCTTATGTGTATGTATACATGGAGATCATATCCCCCCATATGTATTATACATGGTGATCATATCCCCCTTTTGTATTATACATGGATCATCATATCCCCCCCCCTTATGTATTATACATGGAGATCATATCCCCGCTTATGTATTATACATGGAGATCATTTATCCCCCCTTATGTATTATACATGGTGATCATTTCCCCCCTTATGTATTAGTTGACATGGAGAATCATATCCCCCCTTATGTATTATACATGGAGATCATAATCCCCCCCCCCCTTATGTATTTCTACATGGAGATCATATCCCCCCCCTTATGTATTATTTCATGGAGATCATATCCCCCCTTATGTATTATACATGGTGATCATATCCCCCTTATGTATTATACATGGAGATCATATCCCCCCTTATTGTATTATACATGGAGATCAAATCCCCCCCCTTATGTATTATACATGGAGATCATATCCCCCCTTATGTATTATACATGGTGAATATATCCCCCCTTATGTATTTATACATGGAGATCATATCCCCCTTATGTATTATACATGGTGATCATATCCCCCCTTAATGTATTATACATGGTGATCATATCCCCCTTATGTATTATACATGGTTGATCATATCCCCCCCCCCCTTATGTATTATACAATGGAGATCATATCCCCCTTATGTATTATACATGGAGATCATATCCCCCCCCTTATGTATTATACATGGAGATCATATCCCCGCATATGTATTATACATGGAGATCATATCCCCCTTATGTATTATACATGGTGATCATATCCCCCCTTATGTATTATACATGGAGATCATATCCCCCCCTTATGTATTATACATGGAGATCATATCCCCCCCTTATGTATTATACATGGTAGATCATATCCCCCCCCTTATGCATTATACATGGAGATCATATCCCCCTTTTTTTATTATACATGGAGATCATATCCCCCCCTTATGTATTATACATGGATGATCTTATCCCCCCTTATGTATTATAACATATTGATCATATCCCCCCTTTTTTTATTATACATGGAGAGAGATCATATATCCCCCCTATTGTATTATGGGTACATGGAGATCATATCCCCCCCTTATGTATTATACATGGAGATCATATCCCCCCTTATGTATTATACATGGAGATCATAATTCCCCCCCTTATTGTATTATACATGGAGGTTCATATCCCCCTTATGTATTATACATGGTAGATCATATCCCCCTTATGTATTATACATGGAGATCATATCCCCCCTTATGTATTATACATGGAGATCATATCCCCCCTAATGTATTATACATGGAGGGATCAATCCCCCTTATGTATTATACATGGAGATCATAACCCCCCCCCCCTTATGTATTATACATGGAGATCATATCCCCCCCCCCTTAATGTATTATACATGGAGATCTATATCCCCCTTAATGTATTATACATGGAGATCATATCCCCCCTTAATCTCCTCTTCTCAAGAGAGAATACATTCAGTTCCTCTAATCTTCCCTCATAGCTGAGCTCCTCCATGCCTCTTATCAGTTTGGTTCCCTTCATCTGTACTTTCTTCCAGTTCCCCAATGTTCTTTTTGTGAATTGGTGCCCAAAACTGAACTGCAAATTCCAGATGTGGACTTACTAATGATGTTGTACCGGGGGGGGGGGGGGATGCATTATTCAGCTTGTGATCTACCAGAACCCCCCAGATCCTTCATCCACCATTGATTCCCCCAGTTGTACCCCCCCCCCCTAGTATGTATGATGCATGCATATTTAGCCCCCAAGTGCATAACCTTACATTTATCAACATTAAACCTCATTTGCCACATAGTTGCCCAATTAAACAGTGCATTGGGTCGGCTTGTAAAAATTGGAGACATCCTGTAAAGGACGTTATTTCCACTGCACAGCTTGGTGTCATCTGCAAAGACTGAAATGGGATTTATAATCCCAGACCCTATATCGTTTATAAATATATCCATTTACATTCAGATTTTTTTCCAAGCCTGTAGACTTTACCTTACACGTTAGACCGTGCGTGGGGCACTGTGTCATACGGCTTTTGCAATAATCCAAATATACCACGTCCCCACCGCCACCCCTCTGTCCAAGTATACCACGTCCACTGCCACCCCTCTGTCCAAGTATACCACGTCCCACCGCCACCCCTCTGTCCAAGTATACCACGTCCACCGCCACCCCTCTGTCCAAGGTATACCACGTCCACTGGCCACCCCTCTGTCCAAGGTTTTTTGCTCACCTCCTCATAAAAAGAAATCAGATTTGTTGGAACAACTTCTGTCTTTCATGAATCCATGCTGTCTGTTGCTTAAATATTTTTTCCTGCAAGAACTCATCTATGTGGTCTTTTATTAAACTCTCCAGTATCTTCCCACAGTTACTTCTTCACAGTTACTCCAGCCACTCCAACCACACAACAGTTACTCAAGCCACTCCACCCCAGTTTCTCCGCCCACTCCAGTTGTAGACTACTGGGTGGAGGCAAGAACACTTTCACACAATTTCCACAGAATTGTTAGCTTTTCTAGTCTGTTCTATTCTTGTGCAATGTTTTAAACCACGATAGT